GTTTCTGAAACTAGCCTTGTTTCATAGTTATGCACTTTCTCCAGTTTCTTAACATGCTCTTTTGGGTGTGGATTCCACATTGTTGTGGATTCCATACTGTTGTGAGTTCCATACTGTTATGGGTTCCATACTGGTGTGGGTTCCATACTGTTGTGAGTTCCATACTGTTGTGAGTTCCATACTGTTGTAGGTCCCATAATGTTGTGAATTCCATACTGTTGTGGGTTCCATACTGTTGTGAGTTCCATACTGTTGTGGGTCCCATAATGTTGTGAATTCCATACTGTTGTGGGTTCCATACTGTTGTGAATTCCATACTGTTGTGGGTTCCATACTGTTGTGGGTCTCATAATGTTGTGGAGTCTATACTGTTGTGGGTCTCATAATGTTGTGGAGTCTATACTGTTGTGGGTTCCATACTGTTGTGGGTCTCATAATGTTGTGGAGTCTATACTGTTGTGGGTTCCATAATTTTGTGGATTCCATACTAGTGCTGCACGATATGCATGTCAGTGATGCTGGTCCGTAGTTCAGTGCTTACTGTCAGTCTTCATCGCTGTTTCCAGATCTCTGGCAACTCTCCCATGTCCATCGACATGTAGAGTAGATCTTAGCTAGTAGTTCAGACTGCTTCTGTTTCCTCTCACAAAAACCATGGTGACACCTTGTCAGATCCCATTGCCTTTGACGGATCCAGTTTTATCAAAAGTATTTTTTTTACCTCTTACCCTAGATACGAATGATATAAAATACCGACACGATGGAAAAATAAACACAAATGCAGTATAATGCGATCCTTTATTGATCTGACTTTTCACGTCTCTGTGCTCCCTATATATATTCATGTACTCCCTACTCAGGTAGATCTATTTGTCAATAAAGGATCGCATTATACAGCATTTGTGTCTGTTTTTCCACCTCTTTCTCTGTTGTGTGTACGATGTCCAGTATTCATCAGTGTGTCCTCTTCTCTATAGGCTTGCCGGTACTGCCCCTCTTTGCACTGAGACGGCCTTTTTAAATCGTATGTTAACACTTCGCAGACTTGTAGTTTTTCGTCAACTCTTCCCCTTCTTACTTCAGTTGAATTACCTGGTCCTTTTCTGTTGTCTTTCTCCTGATGTGGTTCAGACTTAGCCTTTGCTACATCATTCCAAAACTGTCGCCCAGCCTCTCTCGTCACTCTTGCATATTCGTTTCTGGCTAATCTGCTCACTTCTCTATTCTCGCATGACCTCTTTCTTCAGTTTCCCACGCTCTTAGGCTTCCCTGCATCTATGTTTATGTATCGTATTATATTTACATGTTTGTGTGTGAATGTTTATGGATTTTGTGTATGTTTATGTATGTGTATGCTTACGTATTAATTAATTTCCTTATGTATGCTTATGGTACCTCGTAGCACAGTGATAATACATACGGCTTATAATTGAAAATACCCGGGGTCTAACCCTGGGACAAAGTGAGACGTGGGAGTAAATCCCCTAGCACCTGCTGTTCCTGCTCACCTAGCAGTAAACAGATACCTCGGAGACTGTGGGGATCGTATCCTGGAGGACCTAAAAAAAAAAAAAAGTCCCTGCTGAAAAAAAAATACCTCTAGGCTTTCTTGGGTTATTCTATGCCTTATTATTATCTTGGGTTACTTACCCAAATAAGCCTTCTTCTTCTTTTTACAGCTGTTTGTGTACACTTGTGTAAATGATGCTTTAAGTAAGACTTTTTCTTTACATTTTTTTCGTGAAAGAGAACGAAGTCTTCTCGCCTTAACACGTGTGGAAGCGCTGAGCATGTTTCCTTACACCTGCTGCCCCCTTTTCATCTAGCAGTAAATTGGTACCCGAGAGTGTCAATTGTTGTGGGTTGCATCCTATGAGAGTGGCAGTATACCTCAGACAGGAATAGGCTTTGAAGTGAGCTGAGGTAGGACAACAGCTCTTAGCCTGCAAAATTTATGTGTATATAAATAAAAAGTTTGAATAATTCCATTCACCATCTAGCTGTATTTTTCTCTCTGTATTTCTTTCTCTATCCTCCCTTCCACCTTCCTCCCTCTCTATCTCCCTCAGCCTCTCCCTCACATTCACACAAGTCACTTACACGAGCCCCGTAAACACAGGTCTTACTCAGCCAAGATAACATTGTCACTACATAAGAGAACGACAATATGGCTGACTTATAATGGCATTCCTAAGGCTGGGATGTAAACGTAGGAACGTAGGGCATGATAATTGTTCAGACAACAGGGCATGATAACTGTTCAGACTACAGGGCATGATAATTGTTCAGACTACAGGGCATGATAATGGTCCAGACTCCAGGGCATGATAATTGTTCAGACTGCAGGACATGATAATAATTCCCTACAATGTTGTTAATTGCTCATTACTCTGTAATTTGTTCATAATTGTAACCATGTATGGACGTGTTTATGATTCATTACCTTTGTAACTTGGTCATGACTGTGACTAGTTCTAGTTCATTACCTCTGTAACTTGCTCAGCTATCAAAACTTTGGAGTCCAGTCCCTGGACCAATTATGTACCTCTGTAACCTTTTGACTACCACCCACAGGATGGGTATGGTGTGACTACTACCCACAGGATGGGTATGGTGTGACTACCACCCACAGGATGGGTATGGAGTGACTACCACCCACAGGATGGGTATGGAGTGACTACCACCCACAGGATGGGTATGGTGTGACTACTACCCACAGGATGGGTATGGTGTGACTACCACCCACAGGATGGGTATGGAGTGACTACCACCCACAGGATGGGTATGGTGACTACCACCCACAGGATGGCTATGGAGTACATAATAAAGATATTAAACTAACTACAGGGCATGATAATTGTTCAGGCTACAGGGCATGATAATTGTTCAGACTACAGGGCATGATAATTGTTCAGGCTACAGGGCATGATAATTGTTCAGACTACAGGGCATGATAATTGTTCAGACTACAGGGCATGATAATTGTTCAGGCTACAGGGCATGATAATGATCCTGACTACAAGACATTATAATGGTTCTGACTGCAAGATATGATAATGGTTCTGACTGCAAGATATGATAATGGTTCTGACTACAAGATATGATAATGGTCCAGGCTACGTTGGAATTTTTGTCGTATTTACTCCTGAATATGGAAGTAGTAACTCTCTGTTTAGAGTTTGGTGTTCAATTTGTATAATGTTCGAGAGGCGGGAAACGAATCCAAAAGGGCACAGCTGGAAGTTAAAACACAGATAATTCAAAGGTATGGCAGGAAGTATTTCTTCAGTCTTGGGGTGTTGGGAAGTGGAATGACTTGGATGAAGACGTATGAAGGTATGATAAATCCCACAAGGCTGAGAGCGACCTCAATAACGGCCAGTTAAGAAGTAAGACCCCTGCAACCACAAAAAAAAAATATCTACTGATTGTGTTTTATTGATCAAGAAACACCACACATGTCTCCCGATACGGGTCTTTGTCAAATGATTGTCTGTAATTAGTTAAGCATCCGCTGGCTTACCGGAGATAAGCTTTACATTCCATTTAAATATATATAAAAACATTTCAAAGTAGTATACCCTGCCTCAAACGAGACTCACCCATGTACACTCCTCTGACAATTCGAAACTATGCTTCGAATCCGAGTCTGGAATCTGACTAGGATATCAAATGAAATGATTGGAATTTAATAGAGCTTTATCCTACACGTAACACACGCGCATATACATGCACACGCACACATAATGATAATAATAATAATAATAATAATAATAATAATAATAATAATAATAATAATAATAATAATAATAATAATAATAATAACCAGGGAGTTTCTATATAGTATGTAACTGGTGTCAGCCATGTCTATAAGCTGTATTATGTACTTGTAGAAATAAAGATTATTATTATTATAACCAGGGCACCTTCATGTAAGAACACAAAATTTATAGTTCTTGTTCAGAGCCCGACTCTAAGTACTTTATTTGTTTAAACAACAATTCTATCCGGACACTCACAGTCAAGTAATCGAAATTAGTATCTCAAGACATTAAACCACTGGCGTCTGTAAAAAAAAGAGGATATACAAGTAATAATGTACCTGCACTCGCCTGACTCTCCTAATGTGAACTTTTTACATCCTACTGTGCTCATTGACGATGCTAAATATTTCTTAATGAACACATCTGGTGCAAACACAACAAACACAACATATATATATATATAATATATATATATATATATATATATATATATATATATATATATATATATATATATATATATATATATATATATATATATATATATATATATATATATATATATATATATATATATATATATATATATATATATATATATATATATATGTCGTGCCGAATAGGCAGAACTTGCGATCTTGGCTTAAATAGCAACGCTCATCTTGCCATATAGGACAAGCGAAATTTTTTGTGTATGCAATAATTTCGCCAAAATAATTCTGAACCTAACGAAAAAAAATATTTCACTGTGTTTGTTTAGTATTAAATTATTGTAAACAAATCTAAAATATATTTAGTTGGATTAGGCTAAAATAAATTGCGCTTGTTATAATAAGGTTAGGTAAGTTTTCTAAGATTCTTTTGGCGCAAAATTAAATTTTTTTACATTAACTTTAATGAAAAAATATATCTTTAAATGTATAAGAGAAAATTTTATAAAGGACTTAATTTTAAATGAGTTCTTGCTAATTGACCAGTTTTACCTATTAGGCACGACATATATATATATATATATGTATATATTATATATATATATATATATATATATATATATATATATATATATATATATATATATATATATATAGTATATATATAGGCTTATTGGCCCATGTTAGGTAGCTCCAACGCACACCCATTCATGTTCCCAGGTAGCGTCATTTAAATATGTATAGTTAAAAATATATGTATTTACTAATGTACTAATGTCTAATTCTAATGTTTATTTTCCGACAGGAGTGGGAGTCAGCTGTTGTTGGGTCCAATATCCATCACTTTTAGCAAGGGTTTCCTGGAAAATTATTCATGAAATACAAAACATAGTGTAAGTACTCACTAATATTAATATTACGAAAATCAGCTATAAGTATAAAAAGAAATTCCTTTACAAGAACCAGTGCTACGAAAATTATCATTTAAATAAAGAATAAAACTAACTCCATCACATTTTACGAATAAATCAATGAAATGTTGGTATGATTTTTTTTGGCGAAATACATATTATTTATACAATTTATACACACAGAGGTGTATATCTTTCAGTGTACATGTATATATACACTAAGTTTCTTTTAATCCATGTTTTAGAGATTAAAGCATCCTTGACCGGTGGTGTACATGTTACATGCAGCATTAATGATTCCTAGTACAGTCGATAGGCTTCAAACTAAATTAACTAGCAATGAATTAACCAATATTTATGGGTTTTGTCTTCTAAGATTCCATATATATGTCAGAATGGCAATAAATGTCAACACTAATCAACCTCGTGTGACAGGCTTGAGGGGTTGATGGCTCTGGTTAATTGATGGTTTGAGCGTAACGTTTTCATTTGAAGTAAATATCATTATTATTTTATATTGCACTTCTGTTCACTATAACAATAAATAGCAAATATTACTTAAACCAGAGTAATGCAATAATAAGAATCATACTACGAAATAATTAATATTAATGCAACAGCATGAACCATCAGATAATTATTATTTACAAACCAGTATATACAGTTCTGAGGCGAATATTTATCTAGACGTGTTTACACTGAGAACAGCAGTGTCTATATAGTGTATAATGTAGTTCCACTCGGATTATTATTATTATTATTATAATCAAGGGGGAAGCGCTAAACCCGGAGGATTATACAGCGCCTGGGGGGGGGGATATGTGGAAGGCATTCAGGCTTAATTCGGGGAACTGGAGCACAGATCCAATTCCCTAAATCAAGAGCCCCTCACCAACATCAAGGAACCTTCCTTGAGGGGAGTTCCACTCGGAACATGACGGTATTATAAAACGCTGAGTCATCACTGGATTGTCTGAGGGCCTGCAGGGTATGTATCCCTGAATATCCTTGAGGAGGAATGTGATTATTCTCACTGGGTCTTCTCTACAATACACTTACTCTTTTTTCATCAATGACTGTAGCAGACGTCGTGCTCTGCAGATCATCAATACCCCAAGCTTGAGATTTCGTAAAAAAGATTTATCCTCCCCAACAGTCAAGTTTCTCATATTTCCACAGTCACTACTTCCAGCACTACAATTAGCCTTTACCAGCAAGAAACCTAGCTGATGCCAGGAAAGGTACAACACCATACAGATCATGCTAATATTTTCACTCTACTAATTCTGTCTCCCAGACTTAAGAGTGTTTTCAAGTAATATTAAATTCCGTGTCGGCCATGTTGGTTGCATCTAATAATACACATGTTTAGAAGTACGAGGTATTTACAAATTATTCCTGATAAATTACTGTGAATTAGTTTTCAACACAGAAACAATAGTCTACTGCAGTTATTTCATAATAGGGCCAACCGTGAGTTACATTTAAAGTATTTATTCTTTGGGACCCTGAAGTCAATATTAGCCTTTTTATATATGCGGATGATAACCCAAATAATTACATTTAGTGTGAATTTGACTCGCTTTATTGAAATTGCGAGCCCATTGCTAATGAGTTCTCTGGTTTATCATGTAATCACTCAACACATCAGATAATAATTTGTAACCTAAACTAATGGTGTACATGTATTATAAACTTACCTGATATTCATCACCTACGAGGGTTGGTTGAACACTTAGGAGTCTTCTAGAAACGTTGAATTTCTTGACTTCTTGGACTTGTTTGATATTAATAAAACTATAGTTTATGAAGGGCCCGCCGGTGGTGTGACACCTCATGATTATTTGAGCGCTGAATATATTGTCTCCACGCTGAGAGATGCTTGGTCAACTCGTAAGAATGTTGGTTTAATATTTATGTTCTGAATGTGCCTTAATTTAGCCCATTTTTACGTGTTTTAATTATGTCAGTGAGGGAATGTGTCACCACCACGACGTACTTAAACGTACTGAGGCACGAACACTAACCTCGTTGGTGAGAGGTAATCTATTTTGTCATTCCTTGTTTATAATGTATTCTTATATAATAATATTCATTATTAAATATTAATTAAACTAGAATTACTAATATCAGTTAATGATAGGGTTTATATACACTGTACCGGTGTACAGTGTAAATAAACCGTAATGTGTTCACTGTGCTACTCTGGCGCCAGAATCTATCTTCTTGTTGGTGGTTTATAGGGCCACTGACACCTTACGTCGTAATGATCCAGGTTGCAAGAGATGGTCTCCCTTGGTTTTTAAAGGGAACTGTTAAACTCCCTTTCTTCGAGTCCCCCACTTGTTATAAAAAAAAAAATTTCACAGTCGAAACCAAACAAAAGTAAATATAACAAGATTCTAGAATGAGGATATTTCACATTAGAGGGATCAGAACTCGTTGACAATAATGGACAGTCTCCAGCGTAAGTTTATAATATATTCTGATAACATGTACACTATCTTTTGGTATAACTTGATAGAACTCAACACTGGACACTGGACATTCAAATAAGCCATAAGGATATGTGTTGCGAACAAATAAAACGCTCACTGGGAAAGCATGAAGTAGAGGTCAGCTCCCTTACACCTATTTAATTATCATTTTACCACTTTAGTCAATATTAGAAGGCCGGACTCAGGAGCAAAATCTCTTAACAAACACTATGATAGTTTCTTAGGTTATTAGGCATATCGACAGCAAATCGGTCATTAAGTTAGCAGTTCGCCTGCACAATAACAGTGAAAATACTTTAATAACTAAAGAGCTGGAGTTTAGGGGAATAAATTGTTAAGTAGCGCCATAAGAGGGAATACTTTACTTATTAATAAAAAAGGCTACACAAATATGTGAGTGGAATGGTTAAATAAGCAGGATCTACCCAGCAGGGCCAGTAAATTTTTTAAAATCGGTAATAAAGTGAATGGTCGTGTATATACACTGAGTGATATATACCCCTCAAACGTGTGAATAAAACTGTTCATGTTCACACGAACTCGCTCTCTCCTGCCTCTGTTTATCTTTCAGTCACTCAAAAAAAAAAAAAAAAAAAAGCTCAGTACTTCTTGTACGCATAAAAAAATCCATCCAATTATTTTGCCGTATATTAACGAAGATGACAATAGGGAATCGTCACCACAGGTAACGCAATAAACCAAACAATCCCTTTAAGCGGTGACTTTTACGACCGATCTAACGAAGAAAAGTGAAGCTGCTGTGATTAAACTCATAAAACTTAATGAGTGATTTACAGACAGTCTTAAGATGCAACAAGAGGCGATCCAGGATCCAGATTCCTGTCTTTCAAATGCATCTCATTTGCGTCTGACAGAAACTTTTACATGAATGTCGTGATTTATTTGATATTATTCATTGGTTATCGTTATTTATTAGGTATCTGGGGGACCTTTAAGTGGTTGCCTGTATTTCGTTATTTCTTCCTCCGAGGTTTTAGTTTATAACGTGAAAATGCTTCGTCCGATCGAGTACAGATTTTCAATCCAGTTAAAAAAAAAGTTGAATGCGAAATAAAAATGGAAAAAGTAAGCAAGCCTTCAACGAGAACGTATTTCAAACAAAACTATGACTGTAAGTCATAATTATTCAGGGTTCATTTTTTTTTTCATTCCATTCTTGTCTGACTTTGACATATTTATTTGTCTTCTCTGGCGCTCATTATATCATTCCTTTATTTTGCATTATCTTCTCCATTCACAATCATTCTATTGCTTTAGTGGCACCATTAATAGTTGTAGTAGCGGCAGCAATAATAATAACAGTAGCAATAGCACCATCAGGAGCAGCAATAGCAGTAGTAGCTGTAATAAAAAGAGCACTCAAGAAATACTTATAATTCTAGTAGCATAATTAAAAAATTCTGCGCGTGTTAACTTCATCCCGGATAAAAATGTACAATGAACCACATAAACGGAAATTTACAAAGTTGCGACACGGCGGCTGGACAATACTAGGAATTGTTGTGCTTTTTCCTCCTCAGCCATAGGATGAGGGATGGGACGTGCAGTATTTAATGGGAAATAGGTGTCTTTTGTGTTGGTCTGTGACTGTCGACTGCCAGTAATTGTTAATGACAAAAACTGGTAGGATGGAAACCTTTGGTCCCACCCTATCATCTTGCTGATGATGGGAGAAAGACCTGTTCTTGGGTCAATTCTCTCTGTTGTGGCTCTTCTTTTTTCTGCCCCTTTCTTCTGTTTTTCATCTTCCTTTGCCCCTCTCTCCGGCCTCCTCTCTGCTTTATTTCCCCCCTCTCTCTTTCTACTCTTTTTTCATTCCTATCCTATTTCCTTCTTGTATCATCTGTTACACCTCAGTGACTTATCTCCCCCTCGCTCCTGCCCAGAAACTAACCCCTCCCTAGCCATTAACCCCACCCGCTAGCCCTTATCCAGGCACTAACCCCTTCCTTGCTGTTACCACACTCTCTGTCTCCCCCTATCCCCTCATACCCGCATGGAAAGGTAACCATTACATAATTATAACACCTGGGTAAGTTGAACCCGCTCTAGTTTCCTTGCAACACTTTATTTGCTATTGTTCCATTTTCTCTATAGTTTTTCTAACACACACACACACACACACACACACAAACACACACACACACACACACACACACCACACACACACACACACACACACACACACACACACACACACACACACACACACACACACACACACACACACACACCACACACACACACACACACACAGACACACACAGACCTGTATCACTAACGTGTATAGTATGCAAGGTCATGGAGAAGATCATCAGGAGGAGAGTGGTGGAGCACCTGGAAAGAAACAAGTGTATAATTGACAACCAGCATGGTTTCAGGGAGGAAAAATCCTGTGTCACAAACCTACTAGAGTTTTATGACAAGGTGACAGAAGTAAGACAAGAGAGAGAGGGGTGGATC